GGTTCAATTCCAGTCAAGGGCATGTACCTTGGTTGCGGGCACATCCCCAGTAGGGGGTGTGCAGGAGGCAGCTGATCGGTGTTTCTCTCTATCCCTCTCCCTTCCTCTCTGTAAAAAAATCAATAAAATACATTTTTAAAAAAACAGAAAATATTATTCAGTGTTTAGCTATGTCAGCATATGAACTAAAACATAGACTAATAAAAATACTGATACAAGTATCACATGATCTCACTCATATTTGAAATCTAATGAAGAAAATAAACTAATGAAAAAAATAGATACAGAGACACAGAAGCATTGAACAGACTGTCAAATCTCAGAGGAAAGGCAGGGGTGGGTAGGAAGAGATTAACCAAAGAATTTGTATGCATATACACGCATAACCCATGGACACAAACAATAGTGGTGAGGGCCTGGGCAGGGGGGTGGCCTAGAAGGGGTCAGCAGGGGAAGAAAGGGAACATATGTAATACTTTCAACAATAAAGAGTTTTTAAAAATACTGATAATATACTGGCTGGTATGGCTCAGTGGTTGAGCATCAACCCATTAACCAGTAGGTAGAGGTTCAATGAGGTCGAGGTTCAATGCCCAGTCAGGGCACATGCCTGGGTTTTGGGCTCGATCCCCAGTAGGGGGTGTGCAAGAGGCACATCTCTCATCATTGATGTTTCTAGCTCTCCCTCTCCCTTCCTCTCTCTGAAATCAATAAAAACATACCTAGAAAAATACTGATACTACTACTGTTTATTTACTAAAATTATGAGCAAAACTTTTGAAATGATAATTTGGTTTTTATCCCACCAACACAGGCATCAAATCTCTAGAATGGAGAAAACACAATTTCTATATTAACATAAAGAAATCTATCTTCTCTAAAACCTGTTACTTTGGGCAGGACACACAGGTGACCATATCAAGTTTCCAGAGAATGAAAAGTGTGCAAGTTTAGGACACCATCTTATGGCTTCCTATGACTGTTAGATAAGACAGCACCTTAAGACAAACACAGTGGCTGCTAAATATTAAGTCTTTGATCCCTGGATGCCAGTACTCAACACAGATTTGTACTGTGTCAGAAAAGGATGATCAAGTTGCTAACAAATTTGGAAAAAAGTATTATTCTCAGATTAAGCAAAAGTAATGATCAAAAACATAAAATTAAATTGTGACATTAAACAATAAATATAGACAAGTACCAATTCATGACATTAACATCTCCATACTTAAAATGTAATTCTGATTTTTAAACATCATTTTGCTAAATGTTAAAAATTCTCATACACAGAAATCAATTTCACTTTATTTTTCTTATATAATCATATGACTATTAAGAAAGTAGTTTATTTTCTCTTTTATAAACATCCACAGCACCACCTATAGGCAAAACTTAAGCATGTTCTTTGATATAGTTCTAACACTAGAAGTCTAATCTGTAGAACTTAATATTATAAACCTATTTGTGCATAGGATATCTCTGAAAGAATGCCTGAAAACCAAAAATAGAAAAGTAATAAAATTCAATAGAAGTGGAAGGACTCAGGTACATAGGTAGAACTGTTGCCACCCCTCACTTATTATATAACAGATTTCTCTACTAGCTCTGAAAATTTTGTTAACTTCTTCCCTCTTTCCTATATCAACTCCCAATATGTATGCCAGAGACTGCCCACAATTGTTGACTAGAATGAGGGAATTGTGTTTTCAAATTAACCACCATAACTACATTCGCTCCTCTTTAGCACACTGTGTAGCTATGATGAAACATACTTCCAGCTGTAATTCTGTATACTTTCTTCTAAGTTCAGTGACTTCTTCTCCAGCTTGCATCTTCTTATATAAATCCAGCTCTGTGTCAAGTAATTCTTTCTGCATCTAGAAAATAGTAATTAATATTTTTGGTGACAATTAATATCCTGCATTTAAACAAAACATTTTACAAAAAACTTTTACACATTCCCATTTAATCTGTACATTTCTTTTCTATCGTCAGTCCTACCATCCTAGTCCAAGCCATCAATCACCTCTAGTCTACAATACCGCTAGCTGCCTAACTTGTTCCTATTCCCACTGATTTCCCTATAATTCACTTTCTATAAAAAAAACCCCTGGGATTTTAATGGACTGATATTAAGTAATTTTCAGGAAATAACTGAAAGAAAAGCAAAATACCACAGTATTAACAAGCAATATATAGTATGCTTTTATGTAGGAAAGAATCCATACACACACACACCAAGGAGGGAAGAGTAGGGAATAGTGTCAGAAATCAAAGGGGAAAGGTCTTCTATATATACCTTTTCACAGTTTAACTTTTGAGTCATGTTAATGTTTCACATATTCAAAAAATAAAATTAAATCAGCAAGAATGAGGGGGATCCAAAACTGAATAATACATACAGAAATACACCCAACTTTTTCAAATTAATAATATAACCACGCAAAAAGAAAAAGTAATCCTACGCCACAGTTCTGATTCAATACCTTTAGGGAATATATTGTGAGGTTATAAAGAATGAAAATAAATTCTAAATTTTATAGTTAGTTGTTGGAAGTGGTATTGTTATAACAATTATGAGACTATTTGGAATGTATTACAGGACTGAGCAAATAAATGAGTGCTGTGTTGACGTTAGTGGAAACCAAGTTATCATATGGGAACAGGGAGATAAAATAAGGAAATGAAGAAAGGAAGAACCCCATTATGTTGGATTAGAATCAGAAATTTCAATAGGAACTAATGATTTTATACATGTACACACACACCAAGTATAAATATTGTATATAACACTGGTTTGTTTTTTTCTTAAGCACTTATTATCAACTGAAATTAACTTGCTCACTTATTTGTTATCTAATAAATTTTCCCCTGGTTCAATAAATACATTCTGTAAAGTGTGGTCAGAATGTTACTTCTCTGTTCGTTAATGTTTTATACCACGAACACCTTATAAAATAAAGCTCAAAATCCTCAGTCAAGCATTTAAGTAACTATTATCATTTTGTCTTCAAGTTACCTTTTCAGGATTATCCGTAACTATTTTCCTAATTACTAACTTTCCCACTGTAATCCAAAGGATTCAAAATATTAGTAGAGTTTGCTTGTTTGTGTTTATTTACTTATTAATTAATGAAGGAAGAGAAGAAATTGTAGCATACAATGGTCAGATTTTGAGCAAAGGATATAATCTAAAAGGAAAAGAACTTTAAACAATGTAGTGTTTTTAATGTGTTTTTTTTTTTTAAAGAAGTAATATGAAAAACAACACTAATAAAAATACCTGAGTCTTGGTTTTTATACTTTTTGGAAGACAGCGTCCAGGAGAAGTAGCTTTGACCTCATCTTTCAACTTGGTAATATTTTTTGTCAAAACCTCTAAAGTTTTCATTATTTCTGCTTTATCTTCAGACTTCATTGCTTTGTTTTTCTCCAGTTTTGAAATTAACATCTGCCAGATTTTTTAAAAGAGAAAAATAGAAGATACTTATTCCTACTATTATTAATAAAACAAACATAACAAACTAAGTATAAAAATAAGTATCTACTACTTTTAGTTTGTATATTCATAACAAGGATTATAACCACTAAAATACCAGATTGGTGATGCTAACTATCTCAATTCAAGCCTTAATCTTGGTTTACTTTGTAAAGAACTATAGTATTACTCTTTGGGTCTGTCTCTTAGAACACAAGAAATTCAATTCAATCCCTGAAAAGCTGTCAATTTGAAGTAGTATTAACAATTTTACTTTCTAATCACTTGTTGATATTACTGCCTCTAAGTACTCCTGATCCAAATGGAATCTGTAACCCAGAATGAATCACAGGAGAAATTCTGCTTTCCCTTCATATAATGAGGTTTAGGAAATGAAAAGTTTAATTACTTTCTTTGTCATAAGGAAACTACCTGGCTAGCCTAGGAATGATATCCTCACCATGGACAGGGAACAAGAAGAGAAACAGGGTATTATGGCATATAAGATACCACACATTATAGGTTCTCTGAGTCAAGATGGTTTCAGTTTTTGGTATAAAGCACTATGATTTCTCTTTATCAAGCATATCCAAATTTAAATTATAAAAGACATACATTTTCTACTAAAATGTATACTTTTTGTATTTTCAATATTTGGAAATGTCATAATCTTTACTACCAGATATGATTTAAGAACTTACACTAAATTAATGTCATAAACAAGAGACATAAAGAAATACTGTAAGCTACATAAGTAATTTTTAATTTTCTAGCAGTCACTTTAAAAAGATAAGAGATACAGTAAAACTAAATAATAATATATTCTATTTAACAAAAAGTATTCAAAATGTTACATTTCAACAAAAATTGAGAGGTTTTTGCTTTTTTTCTTCATACTACATCTTTGAAATCTGGTGAAATATTTTTTACACTGACAGCACATCTCAACTTGGACTAGACACATTTTAAGTAAATAATAGTCAGATATGGCAATTAAATAAAGGTCCATCTCAATATTAAGAAAAAGGTTCCATTTCACTATCTGTTGAATAAAGGACTACACAGCAATATACTTGGATAAATACTCCTTATTTTCATTTCAAATTTGAAAACCATAGTTCCATTTAAACTACTCCAATTCCCAGTCCACCATTCAATGTATGCTCTTCATGTCCAATATACTATCAATTGATAATATACTTTATCATTGATAATATCTTAGTTTTACCATATCAGTTACAGTAAATGTTTCTCAGTAATATCTATATAGTGTAAGATTAAGTTCACTCAAAGCTGTAACATTTATAAATATATTTTGCCAAATCTAATTGTCAATATTTTACCTTCTGTGTTTCAATGTGCTTTTCTAAAATTTCTTGTTTTCTTTTCCTTACATCCTGCTGAAGTTTCAGTGCCTCCTAGGGGAAGGGACCAAATATACCATTAGAATATTGACCGTTTATTATTCCAACAAACAAAATGATTTAAGAGGACAGAACTGGTTATAACTACAGAAGCTTGGCAACAAAAATTAAATGCAAACGTTTCCTATGTAACACTAAAATATGTATGCAAGTTTTAAAAGATCAGGAGAATCTTTCATTCCAAGAAAAATATTAATAGTTACTGCTACACTATGGAAAATAAAAGTTCAGAGGCAGCCAACATACTCCTTTTAAATTTCATTTTGTTATGACCACTGAAAAAACAGATACGTGCAGAAGAGCTTTTCTACATGCAAATTTTGTACAATAATAGTTGTACTTACCTGTTTTTTTTTCTGTGCTTCATTATTATCAACTGCAGAGGGGGAAACAAGTAAGGTTTTTTGTGCAGCCTTCAAAGCAGCTGGATTATACACTGTTTTTGTTAGGCCAGTAGATGTAGATAACACCTACCAATAAAAATTCAATTTTGTAAAAAAAAATTTATCAGGCATTCATGATTTTCTGAGTCCTGTTTTCTTATGAAATAACATTAAAGCACTTCCGTTAAAATTTAGTACAGTGAACTAAATGTATTGATTTGAAAAGAAGGGTATGAAAAATGAATAAACTATGAAATAAAAAATTTAATTAATATGTTTATAGGAAAAAAGTAAAAACAAACATAAAAACTTCAAGAAAAAACAGTCATTTGTATATCACTGAGAAAATATTAGTTGCTGAATACCTGTGCTAGTATTCCTACTAACTAAAACACAATCTGTACTTAAGAGCATGGCACAGGAAAAAAACTGGATGTTGTCCCTCAAACAATTTGCAATTGTTTGTCTCTTAAGATCATTTGCAATTTACAGTTTGGAAATTAACTTTGTTGCTTTCTTTCTCCATCCTTTTGCTAGCATTGCTCCTTCTGCTTCAGGTGACCTTTACCTTTAAACCCACCTCAAGTTCAACACAACCAGCCAAGACTTCCACAAAGTCCTAATCATTTTTTTTTTTTACCCAGGTCCTTCTATGAAGTTTTATTCCTACAGCTATTAAATTATTTAGTAAAAGTGATCTGATGATTTATTGTTTCTCTCCCTGTCTACACGGTAAGGTCCTTGAAACAAAAAGCGTGCCTTTCTCCTCTTTGCTCTTTCTCCAAATACCCAATCCTTGCTACTAATCCTATATAATAAAAGGCAAATAATCAAATTGTCCCCTCAACCAGGGGTTCAACCGGGAGTTCAACCAGGGGGCAGGGCTGGCCGGTGAAACGCCCACGGCCCCTCCCTCTGCTGGCCCAATTGGGGCGGGCCGGCTGAACCCCACCCATGCACAAATTCATGCATTGGGCCTCTAGTTAATTATAAGACCCTGGGTAAGTTCAAGTACTTTTCAGGCTTCAGTTTGTTTTTCTATAAAATGAGGAAGTTCATCTTGATGATATCTAATGTCCTTAACCAACCCAGGAGAGTAGAGATTTTTTGGCTTGCTTCATTGCTATATCTTCAGTGCCAAGAACAGTTCCAGCACACATTCTAAATATTCAATAAACACTTTGCACTAAATTAAACTGAAATGATGATAAATCCAAGTGGACAACCTTTTCTACACAAGGTCAAGTTAAGAGAATTGTATGGGCTACTTTATCCTTCAAAAGCAAAAAGTTGCAAGTTCCATAGGGTGGTTCGTTACTGGGTCTTGGAAAGGAGTCTAGGAATTCCTTCAGAGAAATCTGTGACTACTATATAAAAACAAAACATTAAACCATATCTATGAAGAATGTAACTTTCCAGAGGAAAAAACATAGCTTCCCAAGTCTTAAAGGAGTTCATGATCTAAAAAGACATTAATAGGAGAGTAACAATGAGAAAAAAAACCTTGCTCTCTAGCTACTAAAATGAAAATATCTGGATACCAGAGAAGTAGCAATCTGGACACTGCATTATAATCTTTTATCATGGAATAGATTAGGGAACATCACAAAGTTTAGGTAACGCATCACTATGCCTATTATTCAAGAATGCTAGCTTCTAAATAAAATAAAATAAAACCCCAGAATGCTATAACTTATATAATACATACAAAGAATTTACAAGAGTTTTAAGGAGATAATGTGAACAGCCTAAATCTTTTTAAAAAACTAACCAGGATGGTATACGCAGATGCCTTTATTCTTCATAAATCTCCCTAAGGTAAGCAGAAGCACTCAAACATCATCTGATTGATCACTCTACTCAAATAATACCTATTTAATAGCTATTGCAATATCTTAATATTTAGCTATATGAATCAGGTTTTAAGTTTCCTCTCTATTAGTCCTCTCACAAAAATGGAAACTTAGAAGAAGAATCACTAAAGGATTTACTCAATGTTATTTACAAGAAAGGGATAAAAATTTTACATTTGTGTATTTATTTGCTTTAAAAATGACAGAAGATACTGGATGGATACTAGTATTGAGATTTTCCCTGCCTTCAATAAAAAAAATATTTTTTTTTTAGTAGTATTTGATGATGAACAATCTTCTATTTTTCCTAAGACTTCTCTGAATCACTGACCTCTATGGATTCTGCAGCAAAAATCACTATGGACTAGGGAGAGAGAACAAAACTAAAATGCTATTCTTTAAACAGGTTCACTGAAGTTGACTGAAAGTAATATTTTAGAAATAATTGCTTTCCAGAAAACATGCTTTACAAGTAATTTCCTCCATAAATAGCCCACTGCCATTAGTGATTTTTCATAAATTAAATTAGTAGTAATTATATTAATAAATTATATTATCATTTCCAAGAATGTCCCCCTTTTAGCCTAAAGCTATATAAAACATGCTAAAAAAAAATAAAAACAGTAGCAAAAAAATAATAGAAAGATTTTGTAAAAGCTATAATTAGTACACTTCAAATTTGTACATGTCCAAATGTCGACATAAACAGATCCTAAACATCATCAGCTTTGTATTCATCCCCAGAACTGCTAAGAATAAAAGACTTATATTGTTCATTTATTCCTCAGCTACTTATCAAGAAAAATAAATCTAATCTAAGTAAATATTTACATATTGCTAAATTTAGTAGCATAGACTAAGGGACATAAATTTAGAGGTTTCATAGAAGAGGTTAGTGATTTTTTTTAATCTTTAAAATAATGACTAGAATTCAGTTAGGCAGAGGGAAATGCACTCCAGAAAAATCACCACCAAAAAATAAAAAAGAGGCAGGCAATAGCAGAAAAAGACTCCTTAGAAAAGAAAGGTGTAATGCAGACGTACTAACCAGAACCAGAATAATTGAGGTATGATAACCTGTGAACCAAGCTAAGTCATTTAGCTGAGGAAATGAAGGTTTCTTTAAGCAACTAACATTAAAATAAGTCTGAAAGTAGGATGGTGGCAGAGTACACTAGATGAAGGTATGGCAGCTCTGAACTGCATCCAGAGGCCAGGGGCCTGAAGGTGATAGAGAAAGAGAATTGGAATGCAAACACAAGCAATGACTCTAAAGGCTTTTAGACTATACAAACTGGAAATTGGTGGTATAACTTCCAGAGGTAAGGCTAGGAGAAATTAATTTATGTGGGAAATAATGAATCATGATAGGCTTATTATGCCTGAAGTAATGCTGAGGTGTCCAAGAGGGAAATCTGATTTAGCGAATGAAATTCATATTCAAATATCTAGAACTGCCAAAGTTTTACAGAGGAAATAAGGAAAACAATATATTGAAGAAGCAGTACAGAAAGCAGGTCAGCTATCTCATGGAGTGTTCATGAAATCAATTACCCATGTAACCTTCATAATGGACTAAAATAGGAGATCCAGATTCAAGTAACTCAAGTGTATAGATCAACCAAAACACTATTTGGGCCTTATCTTCCTTTAAGGTGAGGGTATAGAAATGGAAAAAATTATCTAATCCTAATATACTGTGTTTCCATATACCTCAAATAAGACTAAAGATCAGGACATTCACTTATACCTAACCAGAAAGAAAAAAAAGCCACATCTACACAAAACTAGAAGATAGGTCCATAAATTATCTTAATTTAATCAGCATTTGTCTCTTTATTTAAAAAAAAAAAAAGACTAGATGTATTGCCAGGCTATATACAATAGTTATTAATTATAGATAAAAATACTACATCTACATCATCTTTTCCAGTTTACAAAATATTTTTAAATAACTTTTACTTAATCCCTCAAAAACTTTATGAGCAATATAAATATTACCATCACCATTTTATGATGAAGAAAAAGTTTCATAAAGATTAACAGCACTGCCCAATATCATGCAGTTAGTAAATAGTGTCAAAGCTCAAACTCAAGTACAATTCCTAGTTCATGGCCCTTTCTTTTAGGCTGCCAGAGTTTTCAAAATAAAATGTAAAAAATATCTCTAAAGAAAATATAGTAAATACAAAGAAAAAGAATGAATGAAGCACATGGAAACTATAGTGAGCAGCAAGTATTAAAATGCTGATGCAAAAAGTAAAAAAAGGGAAGCAAATATTTTTCTTTTCAGCAAATGGAAAGCAAAATGGTAGGAATAAGAGATATAGATACTATTAAGAAGCAAAAGTTTGAAACTATGAAAAAATTAAAAAATTAAGATGCCATCTGAAAACATTTATGAAGCCAAGACAAACACATCATGCTTCTTCTTACCTTTTCAGTTGCTGAAACAGATGGCTTTGATACAAAACCCAACCTGTCCTTCACAGATAATTTAGTTACATTCTAAAAAAATTAAAATGGACATATTCAGTGTTTCCCTAAACATATATGTCTGAAGGGATTATGAACATTCTGATTCTACTAACATATACTGACTTTGTAGGTATACTGATGTTAATCACAAAACCTGGATCTTTTTTCAAAGAGAGACAGAAAGAAAATGTGTATGGAAAAACAAACAGTATGTAATATTAATCATGAAAAACTATGATGTAAAATAAGATGTCTAAGCCAGGTGGTTGCTAAAGTCCCCTCCATTGATACAGAACCATAAATTCTTAGAATCCTATGTTGACCAATAGAAAGTTTGAACACTGTAAATATTAGGTTTGAGTAAATAAAGGATGTGCCTGCTTCTTGAGCTTAAAAATAAAAGTCATTCTTTCCTAAAGTATGTTTTATTTTATAGCCAAATACATTGCATTTGCTGATGATTTGGAATAATAGGATTAGGTGGGGTTTTTTTAAGTAAATAATAATTTACCAATTTACATTCTGCACGTTTATTTTAACAGAATATCAATCTATTACTTTTTAAATAGAATCTCAATATATTTTTTTTCAGGAAGACTACTGGAATAAGGTGTCATCCATTAGCTAAGTAGGATAGTATATCATAACTTTATTTTATACAAATGCTGAAACATCTGGAGACAAAGAAAACCTAAGTTTTAGAGATTGAAGGTATAGAAATAAGAAATTGCCACTCAAGTATGGAAGGGAGTGGGAAGGGAATGACATATGGAAAAGAAAATCCAAGAGTCAGGAATAAGTGATGCAAAGTTCTGAGAGCGTAATAAGTAACTTGAATCAGTATATTAAGCATGTTACAACTGGATGGTTTAAGCCTTCCTGTCCCAATAGCTTTCAGTTCGGACTACTGCATAATTATTTCTGAAATAGAATTCTAGTTAAGTCAAAGATGATGGGAAAAAATAAGATTTAGTATACTGAACTTCACTTTTCAGGCAGATTTGCTGAAAAATATCTCCTCCACAAAGTGAAAGAGAGTTCATTCTTATAAATAGGTATTAACTAGAGAGAAGAATTTAATATTCAAATAGTATAGAAAAAGTAGAATGTGAAAATGTTATAATAGTAACAAAAATATGTATAAACTATCCTATTTCTGTATAAAATACATACAATTAACTATAATTCAAATCACCAAGGGAAACTAATTTACTCAGAACCTACTATGTGACAGACACAATAATAAGACTTTTCATTCACCTGAGGAAGGTCTGAACTGGCACTCTGGGCTTCTGCTGGTTCAATAGTACTTGTAGGTACTGGACCCAACCGCTCTTTGACAGACTGCTTCACAACAGGCAAAATGGGCTGCTGGACTAAAGGCTGCATTACCTCAGAATAAGAAAAAAATGTTAAACGTTCACAAGCATCGAAAATAACCTTTGTTATTTTGTCACTAAATTGCCCATGCATTGAATGCGGGAAACGTATTTATACGTTTTACATTGACTGGGAGTAAGTAGAGAGCAGGACACGTACTAATACGTTTTTTTTATAGACTAGCAGTAGAATGCGGGTAACGTATAAATACGTACACTAAAGTTATCATAATTTTACTGAACGTTGCCATTTGCGCAAAAAAATTAGCAAAAATGGCCCGCGCCACGTGCCACCTGTTAGCGCCTGATGAAAACTACCCACATACAATGTGTTAAAAGTGCAGCTTATAATAAAAACCTAGCCACCTTCCAAATTTCTTCACGTTTTCCTTTGCATATAAGAACTTATTTATAAAGTAGAGAAAAAAATTAAAATCTACACTTCACTACCTTCTTTCTTTCTTTTATTTTAATGAACAGTAGAATCGTAAAGAAACAAACTGCTGTAAGACACCTCTACGAGCAATTAATCTAACATTACATATTGACTGATTCACTGATTTAAAGTGAGAGGGAGAAAAGGAGAAAGGGAGGGAGGAAGAGAAAGAAGTGAGGAAGGAAGAGGATTTCCAAAATGAACCCATAGTCTGACTTTGTGGAATATGTAAAGCTATCATGTACTGAGTGTCTCTGATCTACCTGGGAATTTTTTCTATATGCTTTACACATACCTATAATTATCTAATAAACTAGGGCTTAACTTCACAATAAAATGAAAGAAGAGAGATTAAATAACTTCCTCAAGTCTATATATTTAAAAGTGGTTGAGGCAGGATCTAAACTCAAAAGTCTACCTGACTGCAATGCCTCTGCTCTTAAATACTATGCTTTCTAAGCGTGTTCTATGAGCATTTAATTTCACATAAATTTCTCTTACCTTTGGAGAAGTAGTTTGTAATTGCTGGGTGCCTCCTTCTCTGTGCCAATAAACCTTAATAAAGCGATTGTTTAGCACTGCTTCTGTACTTGATATTGCTTTCTTTGCTTCTTCATATGTTGCAAATTGGATAAGGGCACCTTCAGGATCACCATTATAGGCAACCTAAGGTGTCAAATATTAAGAACAGTGAATTTCCAAATGAATATGTTGTTTCATATAGTAAAATTCCTCAACAAATAAAATATTGGCCCTCCTATGTAAGATTCTATCTTTATATTTCCTTAAATATAGACTATTACCATAACCTACTTTCACTTCAGAAGAGTGCAGGAGGCAACCAATCGATGTGTCTCTCTCAAATCGATGTTTCTCTCTCTCTGTCTTTCCCCCTCTCTTCCACTCTCTCTAGAAATCAATGGAAAAATATCCTCAGGTGAGGATTGACAAAACAAACAAACAAAAGAGTGCAAGAAAATTTAAGAAATAAATAAATTTTACACATAAGTAAACTGAATTCAAAGAGTATATGATTCTGCAGACTCATATTAGTAAGTAGCAGATACAAGGCTTTTCACTTCAAAGTTTTTGTTCTTTTGGTTTTGAAAATTCTCTTAAATTTAATATTACCAGTGTAGTTAATTTTTTTGTTCTTTTGGTTTTGAAAATTCTCTTAAATTTTTTTTTTTTTAAATATATTTTTATTGATTTTTTACAGAGAGGAAGGGAGAGAGATAGAGAGTCAGAAACATCGATGAGAGAGAAACATCGATCAGCCGCCTCCTGCACATCCCCCACTGGGGATGTGCCCGCAACCCAGGTACATGCCCTTGACCGGAATCGAACTCGGGACCCCCCAGTCCGCAGGCCGACGCTCTATCCACTGAGCCAAACCGGTTTCGGCTAAAATTCTCTTAAATTTAATATTACCAGTGTAGTTAATTGTGTGAGAAAAAATATTCCAGAAACTTTTTTGTCTAAATCTAAATGTGACAGATCAATTAAATAGCCCTAAAAAGATATTCACAAATAACTACAGGGTAATGTGTATAAGATGGGTCCATAATTTTCAAATACATACATTTTTAAGTGTGTGTGTTGATTGACTGATAAGCAGATATAGATAAAGAAATACAAAACAAAAAAATCTAGAATAATACATGGTAAATTGTTAACAATGATGTAACTGTATTATGGGGATATATGGGAAGAGAAATGTAAGGGACACAAAGAGTTAACGTAGAAACATTTTTTTTTTATTCTATATAAATTTCTACTGTCCTGCCACAACCAAGCATGCGATTTTCATCTATTACTTTTACATTATTTTTAAATGGGAATAAAACAAAATTTTCCAAATTAATCAACTTAAGCTGTACTCTCTAAAATTTATTATTTTTATCAGGCGATGACAAATAATTCTGATTGGAAAAAAACTGAAAAAAAGAAAGCTCAATATTATTTCAACACTTTTACATATTACACAAGGAAAGCTCAATACTAAATAACCTTACAAGTTATATCCAAAGCCAAGGTCTAACTTAGGGTGAAGTCAAATACAAACTACACTGATATTTATCTTGAAAAATATTCAAAAAATGGTACAGGAAAAAGCAAATGTTTCAGCTAATTATGGATTACACAGTCTCTGGGCCAATGTAGCCCATCACAGAGGCAGAAAAAATAATCTGACTAAAGCATCTTGTTGTAATGACTTTAAGAAACTGGGGAAATGAAAACTACAAGATTAGAGTTTACCACTGTGATTATTTAACTTTGCTATAATTTTATGATAACCTCTTCTAGGTAAAACGTATATAATATGATCAAAACTCCTGCCTTTTCAGAGCACAAAAGTTATTAAAAATCATACATCTAAAATATAAAAAATTTCATTTCATATCCAATTTTTCAAATTTAGGTTACCAAATTTTTCATAATTCCTTATAAAATATTTTTCTTATTATATTGTTATCTCCCTAAATAATTAAGCAAAGACAACAAAATCACTTCACAGCTCTTACCTGTAAGTTAACCAAAGTTCCAAATCGACTAAAATGCTCATTAAGTTTGCTGATATTATTTAATTCTGGTGGAACTTTTCTAAGTTCAAGTTTGGTGTTTTCATTTCCAAACTGAACCTTTTTCTGGAAGCCTGGGCTGTTTGTTCTATTAAAATTTGGTCTGTAACAAAAATCAAGTTAATTAATACATTCATTTATATATCCTATCCCCTTATCAAGTACAAAGAAATAAAATTTTATTATTTAAGTTCTATTTTTTAAAATTGAAATTACTGGTTGATCATGGAAATTTAAATTTTCTTTTAAAAAAAATGAAGTCTCCAAATTAGTAAATGTTCGCATCTTTCAAGGAAGACAACTGAGAAGGGTTCTTCCATATCACTTGTACTTGGCACTTTCAATCTACTCCTACTTAAAATTCTTAAAAGGAAAGGTCCTAGCACCCTATTTCAGTCAATTTGCATATATAACCTTTGTTCCATTTCTGCAAAAGCTAGCTTAATGAAATGTATCCTATTTTAAAACCTTGATCAAAAGGTAGGGATGACTGTCTCAACTGCTTCTCAACCTAAAAAAAAAACAAAACTCAGAACTGTAGACCACACATTTGACACTTGTAAAAAAAGGATAAAACTATGGCCCTGAGAGGTTACAATGCTTGCCTTAAATCACAGAATTAAAGGCAGAGCCATAACTAGAAATTATTCACCTTTAAGTGATGTTACAAAGCTCTAAAAATGTGTGATCCTAGTCTCGCCTCAAACATGAAAGTTTATAACTGAATCATCATAAACACCCCAACATTCTGATTCCTTACCTCTTTCACTGAAGCCCTTCCTTGACAACTTCAGTCCCTCTCCCAACACCCAAAAAATCCCTTTCTAGCTCTTAACAGGAACTGCTCCCAGGCTAATGCCTCTTCTCAGATCTGACCCACACTTTCTTCCCTAATAACAAGCTCATGACTATCCTTTATATGGGTAGTATTCAATGATATCTCCAACATAAGGAGTATGTTGTAGGCTGGGGAGGTGGAAAAATTGTGTTCTCAACCACTATACCATTTCTATATGAAAATGCCTTCCATGTACCAGACAAATGAATAACAAATTTTTAGAAAATTTACATTTTAGTGGGGTAATGCCTACAGAACAAAGTTATATAAATTTTATTTTGAAAAATAATACCATACTGTCATAATAATACTCCAACTACCCTAAAAATTACTGTGTACAAAAATTCCTCAATTTCCCCTGACAGCTTACTTATCAAACCAAGTCTTCTTTGTAGTAACTCCAGGCTCCCCAGAACCAATCGTTCTTTTCCTTGACTCTGAATCCACTACTATCCTCATAGTGCTTTTATTAGGAGGCTTTTCTGTTTGAAAAGAAAATAAAAGAAAATAGATTAATATTTTGTTTATCATTGCTACACTTCCTTTAATTCACATTGAAAACAAAGTTCTGGCACTTTGTCCAAATATATATTTTAGAAGAAATAGAAATAAATGTACATTCAAATATAGTAGTAATCTAAGAGATTTTAATTTATTTCTAATTCACTTCAACCTAACTAAAGAAGAATTAGTAATTCTCACATGTCAAATTAAAATATGACTCTGGCCCTGGCCAAGTGGTTCAGTTGGTTGGAGCATCATCCAGTAGACCAAAAGGTTTCAGGTTGATTCCTGGTCAGGGCACATACATAAGTTGCAGATTCAATCCCCAGTCAGGGTGCGTACAAGAGGCAACCAATCAATGTTTCTCTGTCTCTGTCTTTATCTGTCTCTCTCTCTTCCTCTCTAAAAATCAATAAATATATCCTTAGATGAAGATTTAAAAAAAAGGGGGGGGGGGCTTTATTGAAAATAAAGTAAATAAATATTACTCTGTGGACAACTTCTACAGGTGGGGGGTGGAAATCTATGTCACTGTTCCCCTTTACCATCACCCTCACCACAAATATGATCTTTAAGAATTGATAACTTAAAGAATTGTGACTGAAGTGAGTTGCTTATTTAAACACCAACATATTAATATAATTAGAACATACATGATTTTAAAAGGTAAATATTCAAGATTGAAATGCAGTGCCAAAGATCTATTGAATATCTACTATCAACACTTTACATTTACTTAGGGTTTGATACAGTTTTCTTAACCTATTATTACCAAATGACATGCAAACCTTAATCCATATAAAATATATAATTTTAAAATTCCTTTTTTTAAAGATAGATTTAAAAATTGTTGTAGAAATCCTATTCTTAGTATTTCTAAACACATAACTAACCAAAAGAACTTGGGATCTGTTTCAGCACAATCTCTCTCAGGGCTACAACTCTCTCTAATCTCTATGCAGTAGATCATATCAATTTATCACTCGTGAACTCTGCTCTGAGGACCAGTCCTAAATTTCTAACTTCTGGGTTTTCTCTGGCCATCTTCTTCTGGAAATCCCATGGGTATCCTAAAACTATGTACAAAACATAAATTACCTTCACATCAATGTACTTTTTAAATATTAAACATTTAAATTAATGAAACTACCATATCCCAAATCATATTTGATTTCTAACTCTGCCCACATCCCTTCAATTCACCTTGCATGTATTTCCTCTCAATTCCCACTGAGAAAACCTTGATACAAACTTGCATTACTTTTCACCTAGTCTACTGTCCTGAGCTTATGCTTCTAGATTCTCCTACCACTGACTTATCCTCTATAGAGAGCTACCAATATAAGTGCCCAGAACTCTGCTGCTTTCCTCCATCTCCAACCTCTCCCTCTAAACTGACACTTCCCATCAACATTTTTTTATATATATATTGATTTTGGGTGTTTAGCTTAGTGGTTAGACAACCATATTCTTTACATAGTGTTCCCTCGATATTTCCAGTACCCCAACTGGCACCATACACTGTTATCACAATATTATTGACTATATTTCCTATGATTTACTTACTTCCGGTGACTATTTTGTAGCCACCAATTTGTGCTTTAGTCCCTTCACCTCTTTCAACCAGTGCCACAACCTGCACTCCCCTCTGAAACCACCAGTTCTATCTGAGTCTGTTTCAGTTTTGTTTGTTCATTTATTTTGTTCTTCCCAATTTCACGTATAAGTGAAATCATATGGTATTTGCCTTTCTCTGACTGACTTATTTTACTGAGCATCATAACCGCTAGGTCCATCCATGCTGTCGCAAATGGTTTAAGATTTCATTCTTTTTAAATATTCCATTGTATATATGAACCACAGCTTTTTTATCCAGTTGTCTACTGATGGGCACTTGGGTTGCTTCCATAGTTTGGCCATTATAAATACTGCAATGAACATAAGGGTGCATATATTCTTTTGAATTAGTGTTTTGGGATTTCTCCAGATAAATCCCTAGAGAATCAGTGTTTTGGGATTTCTTCAAATAAATCCCCAGAAGTAGAATCACTGTGTCAGAAGGCAGGTCCATATTTAATCTTCTGAGGAAACTCCATATTGATGTCTCCCATCAACATTATTCCATTTTAAAAAGAAACCTCGAGACCACTTTCCCCTCCAGCTCCAGCATTCTCTCCTTATCCTAACAGCTATTTCCTAAGAGCTGCCTACACCAGCTAGGTTTGCTTCCTTACAACCCAGGCATTCACTAATTCTCTGAAAACTGGCAGCTGCTTCCACTATTGCACTTAACTTGCTCTTGCTAAAATCGCTGTCCTCACTTGTTGCTTAAGCTTATGAATTCATTCCAATCTTTCTCTTACTTGACCTCTTGAGAGCATTTAATGCTGCTGATCATCTATCTTCCCCTCCTTCTTATTCTTCTCCCTTGATTTTCATGTCTCCACACTTTCTGCTTTCTTCTCTGCCTTTTTGGATTCATTTTCTCAATGCCTTATGTAAGCTCCTCTTTCTTTGTCCACTGTTTCAGTGTAGGCATCCCTCCAGGTTATTTACTAGGACTTTCTAATCTCACTCTACACAACCTCCCTAAAACATCATATCTACAGCCATGGCTTCATTCATCAATGTAGTGATTCTCAAGAAGGAAGGGGAGTGTATTTGGAACCTACTAGTATGTCAGTCAGGCTCGCAGACTTGGGTATGCCTCCTTTCATCTTTCTTTGCTTCTCACTATTACTAATGACACAGAAGAAGATTGTTCTACATGCTTTTTTCATCTGCCCAATTTCCAGAGCAGAAACCTGGTGTCTTTTTCACCTTCTCCATTAATCCCATTCTAAGTCCAATAAGTTACATGTGTTGTCAACCCTTTCCACTAACCTTAAATCTTTCACTTCCCACTGTTACTACCATAGTCCAGCAACTATCATCTCTTCTCTAGAATTCTTCAAATGCCTTTAATTGGCCTCTTACATCCCTCCACATCCCTTACTCCCTTCTCTCCCAGTCCCAAAATTCTTCCAGGTTCTAAAAACTATTTTAGAGTGTATACACTTTATCTAGATCCTTTCACTGGCTACCTTTGACTTAGCCTACATGTCTACAGCAGATTAGGTAGAAATATCCAGTGTTTAGCATGGGTGATGTTCACAGTGCAAGCCGCAATTTCTTTGCCCAGTTTATCTTCGCAGGATCAGTTCTGCAATGGGATTTTTGGCCTTATTCCTGCCTCACAAGCCTGGTTCACTGGCTCTTTTGGAGAGGTCTTTGAGCTATCCAATATCCTTTTTTCTTTAATATGTTATTTACCTAAAGGTTCACTAAGAGGCAGTAATGTGTTTTTCCTCAGTATTTGTGATGTGTCTGCTCTAATTCATCTGTATTCTCTCACTCATATTTTTGTTATTTATTTTAAAAAGAGAGTTAAAAAAAGAAGCAAGTTCCTCTGGGTATACAATTACCAAATGTGCGTATTACCTATATGTATTGTGTTTTTCCCCCAATATCCATTTTAATAAATTATTTTTCTGCTTAAAATTTTCAGCACTGGTTTTGTTGACAGCAAATGGAAACTTAGCCCTTCTTCCTACCTATATTCAATCAAGTCCTACGTATATTCAATCAAGTAGCATCTATCAAATTTCCCACCTCCTTAGAAATATGGCAAGGACAACTATCAAGGCCTCTAAGTTACATTAATATTCGGAATTCCAAGGCATCAAAGGACCTACATTATTTTCATTTGTAAATTTAAAGTATGAAGCATAAAAATATGATTATCACATAATAGTCTAAGACAAATTTAAATTAAGGCCATCTATGGGCTATTAGAAATATATAATAATTATATAATTAACAGTATCATAGGCTTTTAAGTATCTATCACAATCCAGGACATTAAGTTTCAAACCAAATAGGCAACAGATGAAAACATTTTGGGGGACGGGGACCAAAAAAAGGAAACAGAAGTATAGGTAACACTCAATATAAATGGATTGCTAAGTCAGTTTTGACGCATAAAAAAAGTGTTATTAATAAAGAGTATATTCCTAAACCAGCTCACAGAAATAGCACATAATGTTTCTAAAGAACAGTATTAAAGCAATTACTACATGATTCCATGAGAAAAGGCGTTCAAATTTCTAGGCACACCAGACATTTATCTCGCAATAGGTCCATTCATGTAATTTACATGCATGTGGAGCTGAAATTACCACCACTCCAACTTCTATTTGATTAAGATTTATATGTAAGAGGTTTTATCCCTCTTCCTTCCCTCATCACCAACAAAAAATTGACCTGGCACTGGAATGGGTCTAATAAATACTGATCTGTAGCAGCGTATAGTTATGCCATTCCAAAAGAGCAAGATAAGAGATGACCTGATGTTGGAGTTCTAGCAAGAGCAAGGAATATGTACATGATAAAAAGAAAATAAGTACTAAATAGTGACCTAAAGTTGTTTTCTCTGAACTGGCTAGGTAGAAGAGACTTGGAGGGTAAACAGCCACAAGTGGCTACTTTTCAATTACAAGAAACTGTTAAAAAAAATTTTTTTCATAAGAAAATAATCTTTTTTTACTGCTGTTGTTGTTAATGAGAGTTATTAGAATGCTGCAAGAAGAATTTAAAAGGTGGGCATCCACATGAAATGTCCTGTGATCTCAAATTAAATTGGGTATAAATTAAAATGATCTTCACATCTTCATCACAAAAAGGTCTCTGAATACTCAAGGTATGTAGATGCTCAGGATCTGAGAGTTTTCAATAAACAACAACAAAATAAATCAAAGTATAAGTAATCACAAGTTTACTAAACCACAATAGTTACTGACTGTTAATTAAGTTCGAGTTTTATTCATGCTTGATGAGACATGACATACTAGAAAAAAAGACATTGGGGAAAAACTGGAAAGAAAATGGCATTTAAAAACTAGTTGAAATAAGGAAAAAGACACTTATTGGCGTACATAATATTTTTCATTATGTCTAACAATCCCTCACTTCCCTATATCAATTATCTGTAGCAAATCTTTCAAATTAATGTAAGCTCTACACCTCCTCTGACTCTCCATATCCAGTTGTACCTCTAGAATAGGAGTCTTGCTGCCTCAGCTTGTGACTGTATCAGTCTAAACTCTATCTTCTCCCATTTAGAACTTTTATCAAAAAGTCTGTCACCTCTAAGAAAAATGTAAAAGCTAATTAGACACTTCCTGAAACATAATTCCTTTTGCTTAAAATATTATAAGCAAACGAATTTTAAATTCTAACATCAAAAGTAAAATACACATCAAGCGTAATTTGTACAGCTAATTTCATTAACTATGACAGAATCTATCTTTAGGAATTAAAGCATTACTCTAAAGAGTTTAAAGAAACCTATTAAGACTGCAAATGATAGAAAATACCCAACAAAAGCTACATTAGAAAATATGTACTTTTGTAAAATTTCTTTCCTCTTGGAAACACCATAAATAAGAAATACATTATTACCTTTTCTCTCATGAGAGACCAAAGGATTGAAGAAACAAACATAAACACTATCCTTTACTCAACCTATAAATACAGGACCAACTGTTCTTTATAAATGTTTGTCACGCTTGATATTACAAAAACTATAAGAAAAGATTAATCATAGTACCTCTGGGTGGCAAATCCATATCCCCTGATGTCAATCCTATCAAGTTAGGCCTTTGTGCATGCACTCTGTGTCTATACATAGGTCTGGAAGTGTTTGTTATGCTTGGGGCCTCAGGATTATAGCCATCTGTGTCATATGTATCTGGTAATACAAAAACTGTAATTAAAAAACAATTGTAAAACTCCATTTTATAATTTTTCTATATTGGTAATACAAAAAGTAAACTATAATATGCTACTAATACAAAGCTAACATATTTTATTAGTATTAAAAAGAAAATTTAGTTTTATAAAAATGCGTTATTTAAAAGAAAATATAACAGTTTTAAAAAACTTAACTGAAGACTTACATTTAATGTACATTCACCATGTCTACATTTTTATTCTATATAATTGTAGTGAGAAAAATAGACCTGCTAGAGTAATTACCTTTCTAAACATTTAAAAATTCCTCATCTAAAGCTAAATTCATAAATATAGAGAGGGCCAAAACTGCACCTGCAGTAAAAAGAGAAGGTGGAGCAGGAGGAGGCTGGTGATGAATGCCTGTTGTTACTACAGTAGGAACAGAACTGGTTGCAGAGTTTGGGGGAGCATCCATGCCAGATGGCTGCAAAGGAGGAAGTGGTGGTGGTGGTCCTGTCAAAACCAAAGAATAAGAAATATCATCTGAAAGCAAACAAATAAAATAAGTTATTTGTATATCCAAACATGATATTCTCATTCATCAAACTATAATATCTACAAACATCAAACTTTTATAACTATTTTAGTTTTCTAGGGTAAATAGCCTTTCAATGTTTTCTAAAACAGGTTTCTCTTAAGCTATAAAATATTACAGGCAGCTGGAATTTATCAAGGATTGTGCATAATTCAGAGCTACTCCAAACCATAGTAAATCATAGGTTTGGCATAGTCAAGTAAAGTAGGGGTATAGTCTTAGTTTCCAGCATCTACAAAATTACTTTAGATACTTTTAATAAAAGCAAGCATCAAACTATTAACTTTTTAAAAAGACTCCAAATGGACAGATAATAAGTAGAGGCAAACAAACATATTTACTTACCTGTGACAGGTGGTAAACTGGGTGGTAATGGGCCTGGTGGTGGCACTGGGGGTCTCAGATTCACAGGTGGGGGTGTAAGAATTGGTGGGGGTGGGGGGAGTCCAGGAGGAGGTGGTCCTTCAACAACAGGAGGCTGTGCTGGGAAAGGCAGCATACCAGGAAGATTCACATCTTCTACAACTACTGGGTCACTTCCATGATCAAAAGGGCACATGTCTCCTCTCATGCAGAAACCCTTTTCTGTGAGGAAAAAGAGAAATATGAAAAGTGCTGGACATTGAAATTTTCTCTGAGTTAACAAAAGTAAGATATTTAAAAACAGAAATATTTTTTAATATAGGGCAAGTGTAATTAACCATATCACAAGAGCTACCCTACTAATTCCAGTAATTTAAAAATACTTAAGTCATAATAAAGATAACACATACACTAGAAAATACATCACCAAATTAAAGTGAGTATACCTAACTAATAAGATGGTATAAAACATATATATATATATATGTCATTAGAAATACTTCCTGTATTTAAATCTCACATATAACTTTATAAACACTGCAACTATAGCTTTCATAAGTTTATAAAACTTTTACAATTAAAGCTTAAGAGTCTTCATTTATAAATTCTTAAATAGGTGATATTCACATTTCGGTTCCACTTACATGACAATAACCGTTCATTTTTAAAAACATAAACTTTGAAGAAAATGTTTCAGTAGCAGATTCCCTCACAAGTAACTCTATAAATATTAGTCTTGTTTGATAAATTCCAAATATATCTTAAGACTTACATGCAAATAATATATTTAAATTGATATTCAATAGTTAGTAGTGATTAATGACGTTTTCAATAATATTGAGAAATTCATGAGTGCTTAATATTAATTTCCCACTATTTCCAATAGGTTAAGTCTTTGAATAACTATGTGTAACCTAAACTTACAGAATTTAGTCAGTTAGATATATTAATTCAATATGTAATGAAACAGTTGAAAGGCTTACTTACCATCATAGTCTCTACACCGTTTTTTTGGCATTGGTGGTCTGACATATGAGTTATGGTCCACTTGGTCTTCATGAAATTCAGACCAACTTTCGGTAGTGTTATTACCATGATGTGTAGGAGCAATTACTGTTATGGTGCTGCTCAAAGTAGGTACAGGGTAGTGACCAGATGAAATGTTAGGTACTGAAGAAACTGGAGTATAATTGTTTTCTAGTGGATCTGTTCTATCCAGGTCATATTTGGGTTTTACCAGATCTCTTTCTGCAACAAAATATAAATGACTTATAAAACTATTTTTTTTAAAAACCATGTCCCAGATGCAGAAATAGTACTATTTTCACTAAACAGAAAATGTCCACATTTTAGACAACCCTCCTTTTCTTTTGAAAACAATGAATACACAATGGCCCAAGAAAAGCTATTTCTTTTCAATATGACCTAAACTATAAGACCACACATAAATTTGCTGTACTTAATGAGTTTAAAATTTCTTGAAGTTCTATTTACAGAAGAGATTTTTAATTTTTCTTCACTGTAATCTTACCCCCCAAAAAGCATAATATGTATTATAATAAAACTATGGTTATTTTTTCTGCGATGAATATTTGTCATCCTTCTAAAAATCTTAGCATGCCTTTTTACAGTGAACACCATTTGACGATGAGAATGGATGAGCAGAGGAAGAAAAAGGAGTTCATATTAAACATAAACAAAGAAATTAACTGGGCTGTATATGGTCCCAAGGAAAAGAATAGGTATTAAGGAGATTCGTTAAGTGAAGCAATGTGCAGAGAGGCCTAGTATACGTAGAACAAAGGGGGAAAAACTCTAAAAGAAGAGTAACAGAGAAGTGCAGGGCTTATACAAAGGCTACAAAATCACTTCCTACACTAAATAAAGATGGCTGTACAATAAAGTTTGCAAGGGTAGCTAATATCAAAGCTTAAGTAAAGGTGTTTTACTCAAAGATGTTTGTTTTATTGGTCATAATATCTCCCTTTTAATAATGCACATTGCAAGAAATATTATACATGTTGGAAATGACATGGTCTTGAAATTACACACATCTGAAATGAAAACTTTTAATTGTTTTCATAGTTTTGAAGTATAACTGATATATAATTAAAACAAGTTTTATGGTCCTTAAGTTAAGAAGTATTTTCCCAATAAGAGAATGCCAACAAAAATATACACATATATGATTTACCCCTGCTTCGTGTTCTGCTCCTGCTTCTGGTCCTGCTTCTATCCCTATCCCTGTCACGAAGCCTCTCTTTACTCCAACTTCGACTCCGACTCCTGCTGTAACTGCGACTCCGACCTCGTCTTCTATTGTACCGGTCTCTGTATGAATCTCTTCGAGGAGGGTTTCGATCATAATCTCTTTTGCGAGAACGATCATCTTTTTTCCTCTCATCACGACTTCTAAAGAAATATATGATCACTTTACTTTCATGTAAATAACTTTTAAGTAGATACAGGGAAAACTCTAAATGCAAAAGTTATATTTAATTCTTATAATAGCGTGATTCTTTTTTGTACCATCAGAATACAAACATAGGAAAATGAAACAATAAATAACTGGAACAATACAAAACTGAACATGTTCTGCAGAACAAGTACTCTAAAACTCCTTTAAGGAAAAATCTCTAAAAGTCTTAATTCTTAGTCTTACACAAAAAGGCATATATACATTTAGGTTATCTATACATATGTCTTATAGTAAATAATATCTGTACATAACTGTACTTATGCATATGAACACATATCTTATCTCATAGGCATGTATCACATGCACTGCATTCTAAATGCCTTTGAAACCTTAATGAAAAAAAAATCATAAATTCCTGAGGGAAAACCAAGATGGCAGCATAGGTAAACACCGGAAATTGCTGCATCGCACAACTACTTAAAAAAAAAAACTACAAGACAAAACAGACATCATCCAGAACCACAGAAAGACTGGCCGAGTGGAAATTCTACAACTAGAAGGAAAGAGAAAAGCACACTGAGACTCAGAGGAGGTGCGGAAGTAAAGTGCAGAGGTACGGAGGCAAGCGCGGAAAGGGCTCGCAACTGAGGATGCGGCTGTCTTTTTCAATCAGGAGGGAGTCTCAAGCTCCCGATGGCGCTGAACTCCTGTTCCGGGCAAGTCTCTGGGGACCCAGACTCAAACGGGGAGAAACTGGACTGTCTAGCATCGGGCAGAACTCCAGGGCGGCTTTCTCTCAGAGGTGCTTGCAGCGATTACCGCGGGACAGTGAGACCCGCTCGGGGCCTCTTAGGCAGGACTGAGGATCAGCCATAGCTGTTTGCTCTGCCCTGTTGATTCCCTGAGACCCCGCCCCACCCAAGCTGTGCCCAGAGGCTTTTGCATATGAATGACCTGGCCCTTTGCAATCTAAAATTACCTAACTAACTGCAGCTGGGTCAGAGACCCAGAACATCCAAAAAGAAGGCCCAAGGCCCCACAGCAGCTTGCATTGCTTCACAGCTGGGCCTCATCTGGGCACCTCCAAACTCCAAAGAAAAGGAATCTGCAGATCTCTCGTAGCTCCTGCTGGGTAGCCTCAGGCAGAGGCTAAATTAGCATCTCCTTAGACATCCAAGAGCCAGTGTACCCAGTGGTCAGAGTGGACCATCCAGACTACAACTCCTCAGATCCATAAGGACACACTCAGGCGGCAGACTCAGTGAGCACCAAAGCCCCACTGAAGCAAGTCTTGCCCCA